ATAATAATAATAATAATAATAATAATAATAATAATAATAATAATAATAATAATAATAATAATAATCAACAACAACAACAAAAAGGATAGCATCTACTTGTGGAGTTTGCAAGAAGACCAACCACATCGAGAAGGATTGTTGGTACCGGGATAAACTACAACGTAAAAATAATGTTCGGTCACGTGGAGAAAAGTGCCGCACTAAAAGATATCAAACAAGTTTCTCTGAAGAAAATGAAAAAGGAAAAAATCTGATATTCTACGCAACACATGCAACATTAGAAGAGAAAAATGATACTTGGTTTCTAGATAGCGGTTGCAAGAACCACATGACCGAAGATGAGAAGAAATTTAAAATGTTGATAGCTCACTAAAATCACAAGTTTGGTTGGGCAATGGAGATTTAGTATAAGTTGAAGGTAAAGGCTCAATAGAAGTCGATACCCAAAAAAGGTATTCGTCTCGTCGAATATGTGCTGCTAGTACCAAAACTGAATATTAACTTACTCAGCGTGGGACAAATGGTGGTAAGCGAATACTCGTTACTGTTCAAAGATATGTCTTGCACCATTTATGACAACCAAAATATTCTCATAGTTGTAGTAAAATGCAACAACGGAGTAATTTTGCGCTCCGTTGGATTTCATCAGAGTAGCACGAAAATTCATAGAAGTAGCACTAAAAGCTCAAGAAGAACAATCCTAGCTATAGCATGGAGGTTTAGGCACTTTAACCTCAAATAGGCTAAAATTACTCCATCAGAAAAATATAATGAAAAATTTTCTGGCCATCCAAACGAACGACAACCTCTACGAAAAGTTCATGGAGACAAATAATATAGGAAACCATTTCCTTCAAGCCAAGCAGGAAGATCCAAACAAATACTGGAGTTGGTGCATACAGATGTGTGCGGACCAATGAAGACGCCAACCTTCGAGAAAAATAGGTACTTTATCCTCTTCATTGATGACTACACATCAGAGCACTCAAAGCCTCCTGCCTAGCAGCCATAGACTGATGCCCAAACAAATTCCTGAGATTGAGAAGCATGTCTGCCGCAGTGTTCATAGACTGATGCTGATGTTGAAGAACATTCGACATAGATGCCTTTTTCCACCGGACATACTCCTATTTCTCTTGCTCAGGAGCATCGGCCGCGGGCTCTGTCGGGCAAGCCTCACTGATAGCAAACTTATATCCCTCAGCAGTCAGCACAATGTGTAAGTTCTTCTTTCAATCAATGTAATTAGGACCAGTAAGCTTATTTTTTTTAGAATGACAGATAATGGATTGAACGACATGATGAATATAGCCTAAGAAACATGAAAATACTTTTACAGATTAAAAATATTGAATTTAATTGTTAATATTGATATCCCCAAAATAATATTAACTTAAATTCACCGACATCTCTACACACCGTGAGTAAGTATGCTACGTGGGTCGCCTATATACTCAACATTCTCAAGAGAAGGATTTTTTAAGAACCCATTAATTTTCATAAGTCAAAACCAAATTTATTATGGACAAAATAATAGTCGGTCTCCATTTGGTCATGCAATAAAATTCAGGGACCCATGGGGGGTCTATAAATTAAATCGCATTCTAAGTGAATCCTATTTCTCGATCCTCGGGTCGTCAAAATCGATTATACATCTCCCGTGGGGAGGCCCGCGCACTCTCTTAAGATTTCATCTAACCGTCAAAATTTAGAAATTTTTCTGGTAATTTCCTACAATTAATTTTAGTGATGTCATCCGTGGGGAAACTCATAATTCAATTAATTGATTTACCAACAAATTAGAAACGAAGGCTTTAGGAATTTTGAAATTATCTTTAATTTAAAATACCTTCTCAAACTTAGTATAATTTAAATGAGGACTTTTAAATATTTAAATATTTATGCAAATCTAAATTAATCCCATGCAAATAAAATAATTATTTAACATGCATAAATAAATATGCAATTCTAGATTAATCAAATGCAAAAGCAATAATTAATTAACATGCATAAATAAATAATTAATGCACATAAATTTAAATAAATAAATCTACTATTATAGCGGTTAAATATTGAGTCTCCTTAAACAAGAAAACCTTGTATATTCTTTTCTTGTCCAATTGGAACTCCTACTGCAGTAGAATCCTGATTGATATTTTACTGCTTGTCCAACAAGTAAAACGCACCCACCCGCCGCCGCCGGTGGCCGGAAAAACTGTCGGCATCAATTTTTTTTTTCCCAGCGTATGGTCGAGCGGGCTGAGGTGCCGCGGTCGTTCGTCCACCGTGCACCGCCGCCGCGTGGCTCGCCGGCTCTACTCGGGCCCGGTCCCAATTGTGTTTTTGAGGTTCGTTGATCTCTTGTGATCTCCAGGTCATCAACACACGATCACAATACGAAAAATATAATTTACATAATTACATAATCGATCCTAGATCCAACGAATGGATGTACATGTTTTCTAAAGAATAATTAAATCTATCTGGTCAACCCCGTGCGAATAATTCTTACAAACATTCATCCATTATTCCTCGACATGTCTGAGGTTTTAAAAACAAATTTAAAATCATAGATCACATTCAACAACATTTATCAAACATATAATCGGCCATAATAGTGAATTAAACTAATTTCTGCAAAACTGAGTTATGCAAATATAATCCAATATATATGGTTGTATTTGAACATATCTTGTCAAATAAAGTCGTAAAAATTCGAACTTTGTACAAAACCAATTAACCAAGTGCTCTGATACCACTTGTTGGGATCTATGAGGATCTCGTTATGTACAAGTTACGAATTTAATAGCAAACTTAAACAGCGCAACAGATCTAAAGGTTTGACGTAGGAAACTTACGGCTTAAAATTTTTTTAATCTGACGAATTCAGGTTGATGTAGGATGACCAGGAACAACGCACGAATGGAAGCTAGATCACACGAATCGTCGCGCGATCGGGTCGTGTGGGGTTGCATTCGTGTTGCTGGTTTGGTCCGGGTGGTGCGTCGCGGCGGCTGGTGGCTTCGGCGGACTCAAGTCGTCGCTCCGGTCGGCTCTGGTTGATCTCCGGGGTTGATGAATATATGTATCTCAATTACCTAGGGATCTTCTACTGTATTACTCACACACCTCTTCAACTTGTATCGGTGGAGCAACAAGAAGAAGATAAAGCTCGAACAGAAACTTGAAAGAGAGAGAGAGAGAGAGAGAGAGAGAGAGTTATGTAATTACATATGTAGGAGAATTCCGATCTCTTCATCTTTTTTCCATAAGCCTAACGATGTATATGTAGAGCTACAGAGACCCTTAAGAGATTAGAAATATGGTTTTTTAAGTAATGGACTAACTGTGGGCCTGTCGCAATCCTCCAATTATTTAAATAATATTATTGGTTACTAACATAATATTATTTCACTATCTTTTTCTAGCCCAAATTACAATGGAAACTCCAATAATAATTACCCGAATTACCTCCTCATACTTAAGATATAATGTCTATTAATTAATTCGATTACTTACAATCAAAAATTAATTATTATATTATTATGTCACTGAAGCTAGCGCTCGTTCAGTACGTTATTACTATGCCGAAATTTAATCCACCTCCAGGGTTTAGCATAATA